AAAAAAAAAAAAAAAAAAAAAGAATCAACAAAATGTTGAAAGCATGGAACCAGTCTCCCTGGATATGGATCCAGCTTCACCATTTAATCAGCTGAATAACATTGAGCAAGTTACCTCCTTCAGACTTAGTTCCTAATATCATATAGGCTGTAAAGCTGGTTATGTGAGCTAATCCATGTCATGCACTTAAAACAATGTCTGGGCACAGTGGGGCACACCTGTATTCTAAGCTGCATTGAGGCATGAGAGTAAAAAGCAGAGTTAAAAATCTGTCCACAGCCACCCTGTGTTAGCCAGGCCGCAGGTCTTTGCTATCTGTATGCTCTTCCCTTGACGTGTGCTTGTCCTAGACTGTAACCTTGTAAGTTGCTTAGGCTTCTATTGCCTTTGCCCGACCGGTCTCAAGGGCATGGGCGAATCTGACCTTCCCCTCGAGTCCTGGGACCTTTGGATTATGTCATCCCTCTCACAGTTTTATGACCCTCACGTGCAGTCTAGCCCTGAAAAGTAGATGAAAGAGAGGCAGGAGATTCAGATGAGGGGCTCAGTTTTTGAGACCCAGTCTTCTGAGTACCTCCCGGCCAGAGAAATAAAGCTGCTTCCTCTAACCAACTGGTGCATGGAGTCTTCCGTCTGCGTCAGTTTCCTGCCACAACATGAGAAGCTGAGGTTGATTGTTTGAGCTCTGGAGTTTGAATCAACAGTCAGTGAGTTATGACTGTGCCATTGGACTCCAGGCTGTCTCTTAAAAGGAAAAAAAATCTGGCATATACGTAGCATCTGGCAAGTACTAGCTATTCATATGTCATAGAGAATGTACTGACATTATTTTCAGTAAAAGGAAAGTTCTAAGAGATAGATACAGAAATAAATTAAGGGGTTTCCATAGAGAAAAAACAAAGAAATTCAGAATTCTAGAGAAAACACCAAATTTAAGAACGTTGCTTGACCACAATTTGAGGCTTACAGGCTAAAAATGAATGATAATGTTGGCACTCAGAAGCCAATGCCCTAAAATGTGGTGCTTTGACTCATTGTATGAGAGAAGCTTCAAGATCTCTCATTCCCACCCCCTTTCTCTCCCAAAGTACAGGTTCTGAAGTTCCTTTAATGGCCCAAAGCCCAGACCCAACAAGGAGAATAATTAGTTTTTCTTTCACTTTCTATTCTCATTGTCTGTCAAAGAAAAGAAGACAAAAAATGTCACCATTTTTAAATTTTTTAAATCTTTATATTTTTACACTTGAACAGACCCTTTCATATGATAGTCTATTTCTCAGGCTCATTCAGATTCCAAACAGAACTATTTAAATTCCCCAATTTATTCATTCTTCCTGGTAATCATTTATTGCTCCTCAACAGAATTCCTCTTCGATACCCTTTCATAACATGTTTTGCCAGGATGGTAGGTAAGCTTCTGAACCCTGCTGGGTGTTGGGGACAATCACTCTGCAG